TGCTATTACTGTCCCCACCACGAAAACCCTCCTCCCCTTTTCCCTTGCTGCACTCCTTTCATCACTCCACATCCACAGGGGAGATGTAAAGCTTTTGGAGTAAATCAAGGCTTTCTCCTTCATAAATGCCTGTGCAATTAACTTAGCCCCTTCTCCCACTGATTTACGGCGGCCATGTTGGAGACTGGAGTTAGCCAGGCCCTCTGGTTTTCAAAAGAGATGGCTAGTTGGCTAACTTCCCTCTCAACCCCCCCCCCCCACACACACACATTTTCAACCACAAACAGTGCATGCACACAGGCAGACTCATTCACATCTGCTCCTCTGAAAAGAAAATGATGAGTGAAAAGGAAGAAAAGAAAAGAGCAGTGAGTGAAACGATGATGATGGCATAATGGCTGAATGATTGGAAGCGGCAGTGCAAATTCATCTGACATAAGCCTTCTTACAAAGGTATATATTCAGAGTTATAAAACATAAGTAGTACAGAGCCTCGGAGTTGATCTTTATATCTAAAAGCAAATTCAATGTTAATGACTCATTTACAACATAGTAAAAATAATTCTACCCTAGATAAACATTATTAAAAGTGACTGTTTCCTTTTATCTTAAAGTAACACAAAGACACATCTGCAAGTTTTAGTCAAATCCTTTCATTCAACAAACTGTTCTGGCAAAGTAGTGCCATATGGGAGTGATGGTACACACAATTTGGAAAAAACAACAACGTCATTCTCCAAGTGGTTGGTACTAGTTGGAAAATCTGGGTTTATTGGTTGAACCAGAATTTTCCCACACAGACAGTCCTGGCCCCTCCCTTTGAGGAAACAACAGCCTTCCACATACTTTGTGTGTCTTCATTCCTCTCCAAATTTCACACAATGACATGTGAATGCGGATGATGATAAAATGTATGAAGTACTGAATGAGAAAAAATATCCATCTACGCTCCATTAATGTTGTACAACACAGCAGTTGTAAGAGAACACCTGCAGTTTGGTGGTTTTCTTTCTTGAATCGGAACCTGGGTTTCATGAACTTTGAAGCTTTGCACTACTTTACATTACTGTATGAGCTCTGTAATATACAGAGATGCTCACAAGTCTTTGAGCTAGAGTCCAAATCAAGTCTCAAGTCTCTTTGTGGTTATTACGAATGTTGTATCACCTACTGTGTTTAATCCAGGCTGCTTATGAAACTGCATAGCTATAAGGAATACTGTAACTTTAATCAGTTTTTCATTTACAGAGCACAACCATGTAATGTACAATGCAATTATTGATGGCTTATTAAATACTGTGAGTCAACACCAAACGCAGGCTCTCAAATCCAGTGTAACGTTATTTAAATGAAACTGTGACGTTGCATAATCAACAATAAACCTGTAGTCTGCTTTTAACTTACAGCGCACAGCCATGTAGCCTAATGTACAATGCGTCTACAATTAATTACAGCTTATAAACTACTGTAAGTCAACAAACCCTGTTGACTCTTAAACCCATTGTAAAGTTAACTAAATAAAACTGTAAAGTTACATGGTCAACAATAAAGCTGTAACCTGTTTTTAACTTACAGAGCACAACCATGTAATGTGCAATGCAATCAATGACAGCTTAAACTACTGTAAGTCAACAAACCCTGTTGACTCTCAAACCCAGTGTAAAGTACATGTTACATGATCAACAATAAAGCTGTAACCTCTTTCCAGCCAACGATAATGATTAATGTGTTGGCGGGACGTAAATGATAAAGTTAATCGACCACCACAAGTTTGGCAAGTAAACAAATGCTCATTCATCTTTTCATAACGAACAACAGTTGGAGTTAACCTCCCGTAGCAAGCTAACGTTAGATGGCCAGTGCTGAGCTAAACATGTTTACTTACCTCAGGTTGCTAACCTATTTGCGTTCAGCGCGTCTTTGTTTGGGCCTTGTTGTATGAAGTTTTAAATCCAGAGTTTATGATGACTGGCAGGTGAAAGGAGTCTTGAGTGTTAGCCACAACACACTTGCAAAGGGAGGGTTGAGCTGTGAGTGAGCTGTTGATTGTAATCAGGTTGCAATTCGCAACCCTCACAACTAGATGCCACTAAAACTTACACACTGAACATTTAAGTAATGTACATTAGAGCAATAAATGCTTACTGATTATAGTTTTTAGGAAGTAAGTAACATACTGGGCAACTGGGTGGAAAGGGGTTAGATATATAACTCTGTGAACATCATGTTTTGGCCCCCTGAGAGGCACAGCAAAGAGTCCTGCTGAGGTGTCCTTGAGCAAAATACAGTAACATCCTACCTGCTCACTCAGTGTAAGCAGATTCGGATACTGAGTGCAGCTAAATGGCTTAGAGGTTAAAAGAAACACTGACATAGTGAAGTCAGATTTAGTTTCATAATCTTAATCACAGTTGGAGTAGAAGAATGACAGTTTAAGAGGCTGACTCTAAAGTACCTTCAAAAATTAGAGCAAGGGGAAAAAGAGATTTTAAAGGCATAGTTCACCAAAACTGAAATTTCATTATATACTCAGGCAACATTTGTGGGATTTCAGGGCAAATAGTCTTTTAGTTAGTCTCTAAATAGTTCCCCTACTAGTTTAACAGATTCTCTTTTTGAGAAGAATACAATGCTCTAATTTATTATTGTCCAGATAGTTCTACAAACAAATGTGCAGAATGTGAATTATTGTATTTCTGTGCCCAGAAATACAATAATTATGCATTCCCTATATTTTTCCTAAGGCTGAGATCGGGTATTAACTTGTTGTGTTTGCTGGTTTCAGCTGACAAGAAGGCAAGCTGACAATGACATTTTCAATTTGCATTCAGTTTTTTTTTTTAAAGCAGTTTTTTTGCTCAAAACCTTTTTAGTGCTGCTTTTAGACAAGCTACTAAATTTAGCATGGAAGCATCCATGCTTTTTAATAATTTATTCCCAAACTGGCCTGTAAGGATCAACTCACACATCCTTCAAGGGCTTTGTACAGTAGATACAACCACAGATCTCCCAGTTTGTCATAATATTACTCCCAGAATGTCTCTGATTCTATTTGTGACTCTGTCTATTTACTTAAATGCATTTCAGACGTATAGGCGGGGGCCCCTCCCAAAACCTACCCACATTTCCAAGCCCTCTGCACCCCCAACACATAAAATCCCACACACACATGCCCCTGCAAAACCCAGGCCCTGCCCTTGTCTGCTGGCTGCCGTGCTGTACACTGGCTCCATTCTTCTAGGCCACTGATTGAGAGGGGCTGGTGTGTCTGGGTGTGCAGCTGTGTGTGTGTTTACAAGAGAGTGTTTTTTATGTGTGGATGCACTCAAGAAAAGAACAATAAACTAAATCTTGACTATTGTATTGGTACATACAGTGCATAGTGTGTGCTGGAAAGTCGGTGTATATGTGTACTTGTGTGAGGCTCTGCATCAAAGGCTACAGTTGTGTGTTTCATGTTTTTTTGTGTATGTGATTATGCTGTTAACGCATGTGCAGAAGGCAGACTGCAGATGGGTTTGATGCATGTGGGAGGCTAATTTGCGCATGAGAGTTTGCATGTGACAGCAAGAGGGAGGGAGACAGACGGATACAGCATGTCAGGGTGTGTTCAGGAGTATTCAGACTGATGACCCCCTACACCCCTCTCTTACCCCCACAATCCAACCTCCCCCATCCCTCCTCACTGTATCCACCCCGCTTACATCCCTGCCACACAGAGGCCTGTACACAATGTTCTCACCGAGGCTGGCCTGTCATCTCCTGGCACAGGATTTCAGAATGGATGTAATTGATCTCAAATTATGTTTTCACTTACAGCTTGATGATGACAAAATAATACAAAACTTTAGTAGTCGCCAAGGGAGAAGAGGGACAGGGAGAGGGACAATGCCCACAACCCAAAACTAAAAGGTGTACATTACATTTAAAGATAAAATTTCATGGCATCACACATGTATGTGTGTCTCCTTCAGTGTCACCCACATTCACCGTGTCACAGTGACAGTGACAAATAAATCACCTCTTGATAACACTTTAATCTCAATAAACAGATATCTGCATATGAATGCAAAATCTGTAAGCAAGGGACAAGATTTTGGTATTGGAAGCATTCTGATTTCTGCTTTAGTCTGTTTGTAGTGTGAGTAGTATTGGCCAATCATGTTTGAGAGTGCTTTGGTTGCATGAAGGTAAAAATTCTGTGTGGAGAGAAAAAGAGGCGGAACGCGTTGGATGAATCAGCTATCGTCTGATGGCGATTTAGCTTTTTGTCAATCTTGGTAAGACGATAACCAATGGGTTCCAAGATTGCTAATATGACTGTTAACAATGACCGGCCATGGAACAGGAAGTCTTGGCCTAGAAATCCATTATCTGTTATCCGGAAATCTGCTGGCTTCACCGGAAGCCCCTGAACATTGGCGGTTGTCCCAGGAGGTTAATCGTTGTCAGACAATAGCTGATGGGTTCCGAGGTTAATCGGATGGTTTCTCAAACTTAGGAAAACACTGGCCAAAAAAACATGTTGTTTCTTGTCACAAAGACAATGTTGTTGTTCCTCCTTGCTGCTTTTTGGCATTAATTTAAAGAAGAAGTGTAAAAACACACAACAAACCCTTGATTCGGGCAAAACAAATTCTGACAACAAGGTAAGATGAAATATTCCACAGTGAAATTATAAGGGTGGAAATAGAAAAGGTTGAGTTTCCGTTTGTGTTTTGTTTAGCTGATTTACAAGCAAATGTTATCCAGATGTGCACAATAATAAAAAAAAAGAATCTGATGCTGGTCTGGGCAATGGTATAATTTTTTTTCCCCAACTTAATGTGGTAATCATATTTGATCATGAATGCAGAACAGAAAGAATTCAAGAGTTGAGCACAGATATAAAACATCCATTTATTAAGATGCATTTTGGTTCATGTGGGAGAAATATAGTCAGACACATTCACTGAATGACATAACCATTGATGTAGTTTATCATCAAAACTAAAAGGCACCGCATGATGTGGCGCAGCATGGTGCTGAAAGCCAGAACCTGAAAACTACCTTTGCCTTCCACTTCTTGCACCACATGGGCACTAAATCACAGAGACAGGAACATAACAGCAGCTTACCTTTGTGTCAGCCCAAAGCACCAAGCACTTTCTCCCTCCCTACATCTTCCCTTTGTAGCCCACGCCAAACACTGTCACCCCAAATCTCCTACTAACCTGCCTCCTTATGGCAGCAGTCCTCAGAAGGCGATCGCGGTGGCATGGCAGATCCACACCGCACCATCTGTTTCAGCTGCGGCACGTGGTGGAGGAGAGGGGACGGGCTTCCTCCCAGCCTCACCCACTCTATCCCCGCTACCGCCTTCATCCAAATCCTTCATCCTAAAAAATCCTCCTGATAATTTCAAGGAATGAGTCCCTCTGCGCCTGGATTTATGAACTCCTGTGGTAGCCATGGCAACCATGACCAACTTTGTGTTTGAGGAGGGGAATAAGGGGGGTGAGTGGGGTGTTTGGGTAGGGAGGGTCGTAGTAGTTTGTGTGTGTGTGTGTGTGTGTATGTGTCTGTGGGGAGGGGGGTCAGGGAAAGAAGAGGCATTCTTGTATTGGTATTCAGGGTGTCAGCAAACCAGAGTAATTGCTCGTTTTTTATAAAGGGGAAGAGGTAAAAGCATGTCTGGTGGTGCAATTTTAAATACTCCCAACACATGGCTGGACGGAATAAAGTCACTCTCTTCATATTGCCTGTTGACAGAAATTATTTTTATAATTTATTTGACACAACAATGATGGAAGGGTCAATTCAATTTATCTGGGAGCAAAATGATACATGGCATGGCATCTTTTTTAATTTTGTTGCTAAAATGTATCCTCACTAACACTTAGGTTCAAAGACAGAAGTTACCAGCCTTTTAAAATCACCCTACGCTAACACCTCTGTATCATATACCACATGTAAATCCTAGAAACATAATGTATGTGATCTGTTTACTGTCTCCCTGACTGTGTATCTGTGGCTCACTCCAGGATGTATATATCGGCTTTCAGCCTCTTATCAGGCACACACAGTGTTCCCTGTAAAGCACAGACTCAACCACTATAGAGATGTATTCGCTGTGAAAAGAGAGAGAGAGAGAGAGAGAGAGAGGATTGGAAAAAAAACTCCTGACACCTCAGACTCTACTTCACAGCCAGTGAAGGAAGAAAGTGAGCGAGCTGCTAAGCCTTCCCTCCCCGCTGCCGCCTGCAAGGTGGAGATATTACCATTAACATTTGGACAGATGCGAGGATCCCACTGTGTGTGTGTGTGCATGTGTATGTAAGGTTAAGGCCTTCAACTGTCACTGAGTTGTCCTCACATAGTTAATGTCTGTTACTGTTTGATTTTGATAAGTAACTTTGTTTTCTATCCGCAGTCAAACACAACAGCGATTTTAGCGTTGATTCAAAGAAAATCTGAAAACGTGTCCTCTGTAAACATAAACTTGGGGAAGCATGTGAATTTCTGTGTGGTTTTGGTTGAGGTAACTGTTTGCATCTACCTCCAGGAGAGTTGGACACTTGCTGGGAACAATGGACGGATGCTGGGTTTTATGGATCCCAAATGGTCAATTTAGAGAGCCTGTAAACGGTTTTGTTATGGTCATATTTCTAAATGCACAGCAGGATTATTTCTGAGTGTGAGCTTTGAAAGGCTCTATGATTGAGCTGCTTGGGGGAACAAAACAAACATACTGCAAGAGACAGGAGCCCTATTGGGTGGAATACTGTGTACTTAGAGGACAGCGAGACAATAATAGCATAATCAAACCTGACATGATCTTATTGCCCTCTAAATGTCAACTGCTTACAGCAAACATTTAGGACCACTGACTCAGAGAGTAGCCAAGCAAAGGAGAAAAAACATTACAGTGTGCACAAGGCTGAAAAAGCTTCTAAAATAAATACACAAAAAAACAGCTGCAGTCAGCATATGAACCGACACAAAATGGATAACTAGGAGGAAGAGAGTGACTTGTCCAAACCCTAGTCTCATGTCTTATGCACTTTCATGTTGCATTATATTTAATTATAGATCATACCGGGCAGCCCTTAACAGGGCCTGCTTGCCTCACAGGTACAAACAGTTGAATAATTCAGTAGCCGGCGTGTAAGATAGGATGTGGTGTGAGTGCAGCAGGAGAATAAGCCTACTGTTATTCAACCCTCAGCTCTATCTTGCTGCGGGACAGAATGGAGATTCAGTGAGGTTAAATGGCAGATTTTTACAAGCTTGTACAAGGCATACACCAGATGGGACACCTTTCAGATATCTAACAGAAAAATACCAATGTTGTAGGTTACAAGACACTAACAGCAGCTGGCTGCTGCTGTTTATTTTTAATGCCAATTATCTGAAAATCAGTTGTAACACAAAAGAAGTAATAGAGCATTAAACCATGTCCACGTTTCTACATTGTACAGTTTATTACAGGTTGACAGTTGACTACTATCATGTTCAACCAAAGCCATTACTGTTATCTTTCTTTTGTCCTGTGCGCCCAATATTTTTTTTTACACATTCTCCATTATGAGAAAGCAAATTGCAGTTTTGCAGCTATAAATAAAAAGAAATCTTGTTGTGGTTACAAGGATGGAGAGATAACACACTCATTTTTGAATTTCTGTTTGTAGCAGGAATTAATGGACTCTGGAATGACCTGAATGGAATTGCAAAGCAGGTACACAGAAGTGATGTAATCCCTCTGCTTCCTCTATATGTCATAGAAAACGGAATATTACTAAAAACTAACCATTTTTTAAGAGAAAAGCAGGTAATTTTGCATAAGAAAAACTGCCCATTTAAGGTGGGAAAGGGCAATTGTAAACAAAATCCAATATTTTTGGAAAGTGACAATAGCATTTTTTGAGTTAATTTTTAAATGAAAGATGAGAAAATAATGAATAATTATGTTATAATTTGCACTGGTATTTCTGCACTGTCAAAATGAATCAGGATAGAAAGCTGCTTCTTTTTATTTTCAGCTTTATTGAGTTTGTTAGGATACTGAGTGGTGATGACAGAGCTACTCTTCAGTCCTGTGCTTGAAGTAAAATGTCAACGGTAGTGTTTTCAGCTTTTGACTAAATCCCAATTTTATTGCAGTAAGTTGCCTGGAGATTGTTCAAAATTGCAGTGTGATATTTTCATGAATTGTAAAACATTTAGCACTGTGTCTGAGCTAAAGTTATTTAATAGTTTGTCTGCATTTTAGGCACAGATATTGAAAGAAATCCAATATGACATTTGACCCCAGTCTTGATTTTGAGTTAAATACATTATCTGTTCAATACACAACCTGTATGTGGTGGGTGCAGATACATATTGATGCAAATTGCAAATTATGCACAGATATTAATTCTACAGCAACAGACAGTAACTCTTTATATGTGATATGTAGCCACAATGTACGTAATGAATAAAGTGCCATTTATTCTCTTCCTCATCTGACACAGCAAATGCAGTCAATACTGTAGCAACACTATAGTGTTACAATTTTACAGTACAGGCACTATTTGGAAAAATGGGTTACAAACACAATATCAGAATAAAGAGGATGCTTGTAGTAGCATTTTAATGTTTCCAGCTGCTGTCTCTGCTGACTGTGTTGAAAGGAGGCTTTGGAAGCACAGCAGGAGTCAGGAGTGGTGGGAATGTGTTCTGCACTCCTTAGTGATCCAACCTGAAACTTAAGAATGAAAAGGAAAACTTTGGATATCCGTGCCATCATCTTTCCCAACAAAGTAAGCTGCTCATTTCTGCCAGTCAATGACAAGTAAGAAGTTTGACTTTGCCTATGGTATGTGGGATGAATCTCCACTCTGTGTTTAGATCCAGGTCAGACACTGGCAGTAAGGCTTTTATGGAAATTTAATACCACGTGATCTACAAAAAACTAAAACATGTGTTTTCTGGTGTTTACCTTTTAGGCATTTATATCAGATTTTGGTCATGCCAAAAAAAAAAAAAGAGAGATTAGAATGTGTTTAAATTTGGACATTAAATAGAATGTAGTTGGGTTTGCTAAATTCCAGACTAATGGGTATTCTTTAGATTTAAAATGTATAAAAAGAAATTGGAGAAAAATGTGTGGTTTCGGCATGTTTGTGAGAAAATAGAGATGGTTTATGGGACAGATAGTAAAGAGGAAGACATGTAGATGGGGGGTTGTGGGGGTGAAGTGACAGAGCGAGAGAGGAGTGGATGCAATGAACAGGAAGCATCCCGAATGAATTCCCAGAGATGGCCACGCATGGCTGGGCTGAACTGGCCTGGATCTGGGAGGTGGAGGCGGAGTGGAGGGTTGAGAGGCTCCTGCATGTCCAGCTGGACAGAAAGAGAGAGACAGAAAGACGATGAGAGAGAGAGAGAGGCCCCCGGGCGCCGACAGGTGTAGGCCTCCACTCCAGCTGAGGCCTCACAGCTGACCTGGATCTCTTGATATTTCTCTCTATGTCTATTTCTCTCTCTTGCTCTCTCTCTCTCCCCCTGTCAAAACACATGCTTTAACTCTGAGAGTTACACACACGACAAGCTACGGTATGTTACACCATGTTCGCTATTCTTCATTTAATATGGCAAGTCTCCCAACCAGGCTGCAGCCCAGCCACAATTCATCACACAACTGCCTGGGGTTCAAAACTAGCACCATTTATTAAGCACTATTAAAGTCCCCCTTCACGCATCATCTTCATTTTTGCCTTGGTTGACAATGGTGAGCAACAGGAACTGTGGGATGACATGAAAAACTTTGGCTGGATCTGACACAGGTCATTGTAATTAAACAACTTGGAATTCCAGACTGTACACCAGAGAATCACTAAATGTAATCACTGTGCAGGAATTTTTAATTGATGCAATTGCTGCTGAAACATAAAACCATATGGAGAATAGGACACTCTTGGTGCAAGGCTAAATAGAGGTTTACAGCTTTATTTCTCAAAGCACTGGTATTGCTAGTGGTGGTTTTTCTCTGAAACCACGTCTCCAATAAAGTGTGTTGCTTCCTACTACAAAGAGCAAAGAGCTTCCCCAGTCAATGTTGTTGTCTCTTTGGATTTGCTGAGAGGATAATATGTTGTAAGTGACTTTTCCACTCGCTCCAAAACTCTTTGTAAAGGAACAAAAGGGACCTCTTCCTGTTTTGTGATGGAAAAGATTCCCAAAATATCCCATCTGACCAATATAAATAGAAGCTGCGGACCTCCAGAGTAGTGACTTTAATTATTTATGTTTAATTATTAAATTTACTTCCTGAAATCAATGTGATAAGGATTAAGTGATGCTAACACATACCACAGAGAAATACTGCTTATTTGGTGTGGTGGTTAGAGATTGTCATATTATATATAGTGCATAAAACCCACTTCTGATCCTCGTCTTTTAGTATTATCATACTTCAATATAAAGAATTATTATCTCAAAAATATCTTTTTAACCAATTAGTGTTTCTGTCATCACCCAGACCTTTTTGTCGTGCACGTCATTTGAAACTTCAACAGAATTAAAAGTAGCCCAGAATTAATTTAATTTGCCTCACTGGCTCGTTACGTGAGGCGACTCTTAACACGATGAGTAAATGAGTATTCCAATATGACAAGTTAAAATGATAAGGTCAGTGCTGCTGAACAAAAAGGGACCATTTTCTGTCATTAGACAAAGGACTACATTACACTCATGTTAAATAAACAAAGAATTAGAGCGAGTGAACAAGAAGGATTGATTTGCTGTTAGCAGAACGGCAATTAGTATTATACCCCAAAGAGGGTAAAGCAAAAAAAACAAAGAATGAAAAAAATACAATGAGCGCCATTGTGAAAGTGGCATTGTTTGATGTCATTGTCAAATGTAGTGAGTGTAATGTACTGTACTTATTACCCGTGTAATAGGGTTTTCATAATTTGTCTTAAAATTTCCTTTAAAGATATACGACAATCTGCAAATTGCATAATTTCATTTGTTTCTTGTGGTCTATGTGAAAATATCAACATAGAAATGAGGCAGATAAGACCATAGGCATAATATCACTCAATGTAAGATTTTTTTTTTTAAACAGGTAAAATCTAGATGTCAGAATTCAGTTCTAGATTAAATTAGTGATTCACATTTGTACAGACTTGCAATTTTTTTTGTGTTATAACATTAATTCCTGAGAGCAAACGCATTCCACACGAGGAAACATATCTGTACACACTTATGTGAACATTTGGCACCATACTGCACAACTTTTAATACTTCAGGGAAAGGCATTTTTGTCTTAGCTGTGATATTTCACTGTTTGGGCAAACATACAAGTGTGTGCATCCCTGCGTGCCCCCCCACACACACACACACACTCACATCCCCTAAACTGAGACTCTCCTTCTAAACTCACACCCATCCATCCATCCAACCACACACACACACACACATACACATGTACACTCATGTGGATATTATCAGCGGTGCTCAGCTGAGGCTCCAGGCCTGTCCGGTCCCCATGGCGTAGCGGTGACCAGGGGACAAAGAGCTTATCTCGGCCCCAGGCCCCTCCCTCAGCCCCATGCCTTGGCTCTAGGAGCTGGAAGGCAGATGCCATGCAGGCCCCCAGTGTGGCGTGTTTCCGTGGCCAAAGCATATAGCGTTTAATGCTTAAGGGACAGGATTTTGAACCAGACAGTCCATTTTGTCTGTGTCGTTGTGTGTAAATGTGGGTGTTTGTGCAGGCCACACAGCAGATGGAGGTAAAGGCTTTTAGTATGACCAACTCCCTCTGGCCCACCTGGACCAGATCAGAGCATTTGGTACTCATACTCATATACACACATACACACATACACACACACACGTGCACGCAAACACATGCACACGCAAGCTATCACACATGGACCTAAACCGGCTGTACTCCCTGGATAAAAATACAGGGGACTGAATTATTACCAGGTGGTAGTGTTATTCCACGAGTATTTGCTTCCTTTAAATTCATATGGATGGATGATCAGTGGGTTGTGTTGTTAAATCATGTGATGATGGAGATGATGATGAGCGTAATGAAGAAGATGACTACAGAGATAAATCAGGTGATGCTATATGAGACAGTGAGGGCACTTATTAAAGCTAAATTCACACCGTTTTTGCACTGATTTTAGATAATACCAATTATACTATGAGCGGTGGAGAGAATCAACCATCTCCTCACATCCAGCATGCTCTCACAGTCACACTGCACCATAATCTCCATTCATAACAAACTATTTCCTCACTGAAATAGAGAGTGTTTCATAGAACGACCAAGGCGAGAACAGGTGTTTTTGGGATGTGCAGCGGAAAAACTCCAAATTAATTTTAAAGAGACGAGGTTAACAGCTTCGAAAAGCTCCTTTCGTCTCAGCGAATTATGCTAAGTGTTCACAAAACATTGGTCTAAATATAGGGCTGGAACGCGCTGCAGATTAGCTTGCACAGTGATGGGTCTATAAGACGGCGGCACAGAGCTGTCTTCCCTCTTTGACTGGCACGGCTTTGAACCCCACTGCTCAAATTCACTCCACAGTGGATAAGTATCTGCAAGTGTGTGTTTGCCTATTAGCGTGACTATATGTCTTCGTACACGAGCCATGGGTGAACGGTTTTCTGTGCTCTGAGCAAATCCTATGTGTTCAAATGTTTGCTTGAAATCGCTGACGTACAAGGCATACAGGGCACTGCGGTAGAATGAAAATGACGCTATTGGAGTTTAGAGCAAGAGCACCTTCCCATTGGCTGTTAACAGGCTTTAAAGAAAGACTGACATTTTGGCTCTCGGGGCTAACTACATCATGCAGGCTCGCAACCCCCAAAATGGTTAGACTTGCCCAAGTCCTGTTCCAGCGAAGACATCCATGCTCTAATACTGGAGTCTTGTCTTTGATGTGTAATCACACATGCGCATGTCTACCACTCATGCAGGCACAATACATTTGCTGAGATAAAGTGACTGCAGTGTATGACCCATTTTGCAGAGGCAGGGTTTTGCTTTCATAACGATGGGGTGTGAGTGAGCGCATGTGTATGAATGCATAACCAGTATCTTACACCGGAATGATGCAGCACGACAGGCTTTTAAATCTTGAAAAGGAAGTGCTGGGCTGGTTTCGGGTAAAACTGCTACTGTCACACGTCCACTCATAATGCCGTTAGCCATACCCCCTGGAGGCGACAGGCAAGCCAGTACTGAAAGTACTCCCAAGTGGCAAGAAAAGGGGAAGGATTATCTTGAATCAAAAATTTTCAAAATTCTAGTTTAGGGCATGTGTTGTGGAATATATTCCATGTACTTTAAGTGTGACGACAAGCCTCGAAACCCCTGAACATGCTCCTCAAGCAGTTAATAATCATTGTTTCATGGTGTTGGAGGAGCGAGGCGGAGATAATGTTTTGTGTCGAGATAACGCGTTGCCTTATTCCTGCCGCCTCCCCTTAACGCACAAGACAAATGGAATGGGCGCATCGCCTTGGAGCCATCCAAATGAGGGTGTCTGCCGTGAAAGTGAAGTGAAGTGAAGTGAAAGAGGAGGAGGAGGAGGAAGAAGGAGGGGGACAAGTGCCACAAAAATTGGGGAGCGGCTGCTCGACCCTCGCGGCGCATCACGGCAGCAGTCAAGTGAATGTGAAAACAAGAGAAAGCTTTGCGGAATATTGATTTAATGCCTCAGCTTGAGCAGGGGAAGATGTGCGCTCTAGATTACATGCGCTCTATTTCCCACCCATACAGAACCTTGCGTTCCTCTGCCTCCACACTCCAGAGAACCAGAGAGAGACGGAGAAGGGGTGTTCTTTTATGTGTTGTTGCCCTCTGTGAAGTCTAACTGTGTAGGAAATCAACGTGGAAATCCAGAAGAGGGTAGAACAGCATAAATATGTAAAACATATCATGCTCCCTTTGTTTCCATACATATGAAAGACAAAATCACGGGATCTTCTCGCTGTAACCTCCAACCACATAACCTATAGCTAGTATCCCTTCCTTTCAATTAGTTCCCTGTCTCCTAAATAATGAATTAGCTTCAGAACTTATTAGGATCAAAAGATTGTTGCAGGGGTTGGTTTAGGTCCTAGCATTACACAGTATGGTAGGAAAGCATGGGGGCAACATAAAGCCACAGCATTTCAGAATTTGAAGGTGGTTGTTCTTTGTGTGAACAAAGTGTCAAAGATGCTTTTTTTTTTGCTTTGCAGAGGGTCATTTCTGTCTTTTTTTGTATTTTCACTTTTTTTTATCAGCTTTTATCATCAACGAGTGAAAATGACATGATCCTATTCCTTGCATTACATTTGATGATTGCTTTGCTAAGATCCACCTGCACCGGTTCATTATCCAACATATTATCCAGGAGGACGATGCAACAAATCAAACTATATGAGCCACAAATTAGGTGATTTATCTCTGGTCTTGTAATTCTCTATATCATGGCAGTTCTGTGTCCTTCACATATAAGTAGCCTTGTGTGTTTAACTATATTTAACAGTAAAAAACTTATCAGTGCAAAATCAATTGAAAACAAATCACATAAAAAAGTATCAACTACATTTAAGGGTGGACTGACAAGTTATTAGTATCATCTGGCTTCATTGCTGTGGTTTTAGATATTGCTTTTTTATGTTTCTTTATATTGTCATTTTTACTCTCCATCATAATGCTGAAAACGGTCAATAGATCAAATGTTGCCTAATTTAAAGTGTCCACATCTTCAAGTTGGCAGACACTCAAAAGTTGATGTAGACTCACCAGACATTCATTTTTCTTTTTTATAGAGAGGAAACAGAATGTGTCCATTTCTCCTCGCTGCCCTCCGTGTAACAGTGTGACAATGACAAAAAAAAAGAAGATCTTTAGAACAATTTGTTACTAACTGCCCCCCCCGCAACCGAAAATTATGAACAGTGAGCCACAATCACATTCTTGCGCACAGCCAAGTGAGGAGGCGCCTCCGCAACCGTCCTGGGCCAATGGCGCACAGAGCAGCCTTATCATACTTTTCTTCGGCTGGCCAATGGCGCACCTCTACCCGGCTCACATGACGCCTTTCTGTGCTCTCCCTCTCCTCTCAGCTCTCAATCCCGGCGAGTGCGGGCATCACTGAAGACCTGACACTGGCGGAATCGGACGTCCACTGTCCTCAGCAGAATTAATCAGGTGTTATCTTATGCAAATTGTATCGCCATCAGATGAAGCCGATGATCCTGTCGATGACAATGACCCTGCTTCGCCGGAGGAACACACTTTTTTCCGTCTCCAAACGACCGGGGAGGCGCAGGGGCGAGACAATAACACCCAGAAGTTATTGAAATGAATCGTAAGTACGCTACGTTATATTTTTTTCTCTTCTAATCGCTTATTTATGGCTAACAATCCGGAAAGTAATAGTTACATTTATTATTTAGTCGACACAAGTTCATTTTTTTCAATTTATGACTGCATGAGTCACTTTTTCACCGTGTGTTTTCTGTCATTTTTGTTTACATTCAAAGGAGAATTAAACATTTAAAAACGTGATAGGCTTTTATGGCTAAACATAATTGACTTCACTTGATGCTCGAATGATCTCTGAGTTTATTTTTTCCTGTCAACATTATTTGTGCGTCTCTGAGAATGTTCTCATTGTGCATGTGTGGCTGTCTGCGCACAGCGCCATAGCATGAAATATAGATAAAAAGCACACGGTAAACCCGCTGACCCTAGCCAGGCAGGCTGTGCAACCGGTCCACACTGCTCAATGGGGACAATTAGGGGGAGGAGGGGGGCAAGAGAGAAAAAAAATGGAGCACTTGAAGCGCACTAAAACAGAGCTGCACTTCACTTTAATCCCCTAGGCAAGGTAAGGGTGGATCTTCAGTAAACTTATGTTACAATTCCAATGCAAGATATGACGAAAAAACATCCCTTAGCCTAGGTTTAGATGCATAAAGTGAAAAGCCCCCCTTCCCCCAAAATTAGTTCCTCCACCAACAAGCAATTATGTCAAATTCCAGTGAATTTGACAGACACTCTGTGAGGTCATGTTCATTCACTGAACCCTTTTATTGATTGGAAATTCGCCTGCAGGGGAGAAGGGAGGGGGGTCCAAAATTTATGTACATGAGGGAGTCAAAGGAAAAATGGGTGCCCTCTGATTTTCCATGATTTCTGCACAATACGATGGAAAGAGCGGGGGACTGGGCCATTTGATGTTTTGAAAGGCTTCAGATGGCTTTAATTAGGACCTATAAAATCTGTCTGCCCCATTCTCTGAGGCAGCGCTCTGGAGGAGCGAGAAGGGAGGGGAACTGACAAAAAAAAAGAAAAGAAAAAGCAAGCCAATACAGAAAGTCACTTCAGCAAAGAATTGTCTAATCAAAATTTTATAACCCTTCTTTTTTCTTCCCATTGCTCCCTCCCTTGCCTCCCACCCTCCCTTCCTTGATGCTGGTGGTATGTAGGCAGTGCTCTTACTCCCCTCTTTGTCTGGCTGCTGTGTTATCTACCCTCACCCCCCTCAATCCTCCCACCACCTTCAACCTAACTACCGCCTACAGTCGGCCCAAGCTCAGACACCTGAACGCTAGACATAATGATCAAGAGAAGTTACAGTCTGTCTGGGGCACAGCCAGTTGTTTTAGTTTCTCTTTTTCTTCTCTTTTTTTGTCCTCATGCTGGCCTGCCTTCCCGGTCCCTCTGCGTCTTTCCCATTTCTCCATCCAAAATCAAGACAAGCTATCTTGTTGTGTGTGTCTGTGTCTGTGTGTGTGTATGGTACAGGATTGCAGTTTCATCGTTACTGCTACTGTTGCTTCCGCTGTGTAGCCTATATGGATCTTGGATGGAGTGTGGGTGACTCACACAGCTGCAATACACACACTCATGAGGAAACATCAAAGACTTCTTCTCTGTGTGTGTTTGTGTGTGTGTGAGTGAGAGAGAGTGGGATTTCAGCTATTCTGGCCAGCATCTGCAAGAATATAGGTATGGCGTGGTGCTTGTTGTTGTTGTTGTTGTTGTTTTTTATATTTTTCAAAAAGCTGGGGTTTATGTGTTGTGCTACTTTGCGTTACATTAATTGTACTACATCACTGAAATGTTTCCGTACCACATACAGGAGTGTCGGAAGCTTTATGTTTTCCCTGTTAAGTTTTTCGAGTTTAATGATGTTAAACTTGAGTCTTGATCTTGGAATTCAACAAGCTTAGTCAATAAAATAACAATATACCATTATTAATTAACAGGAGTTGAATCTTTTGAGCTTCAAAAATAAACATATTTTCTTCCTGAAGATTCAGTTTTTACTGTACTGGAGGTTTTAAATGAGGCCCTCAGTTGCAGTCTGTCGCACCTCGAATCTGACAGTGGGCGTCTTTGAGTTGGGGCGTAAGCCGAGGTAGCTTCTGAAGTCAAGTAAAAGAAAATACAAAACAATAATTAGAGGTATGAGTTGGTAAAAATGCTTCGATATGTGTATTTCTTTGACAGACAAATTCATCTTCAGGAGTGTCTCCTTCCTTCTGTGGAGTACATGTCTTTGTTTTCTCGATGTGTGTTGGTTAGGTATTACATCATTTGGCTGCTGCTGGGTTAGCTAGATAATAAGCTAGCATGCTTTATGGAAAATGGCTGGTTGGAGTCTTTGTTCAACATATTTGCTTGAAAAGATGGTGAACAGAACAAGTCGAGTTGTACGTATTGTACGTTTTTCTGTTTTCTAGTCAAACAAGCCTAATAGCTTTATTGTGTAACCTGAGGTTGTTTTTCTCAATGATGTTTTTGCTAAAATGTGTTTTAGAAGATTATCCCCTAACAGCTGGAATGGGCTCTCTCTGTACCCTCAACTATGTAATCTTCTCAGATGTGATGTTTTGAAAAGCAAGTGTTTGGCCACTTGTTTGAGTGTGTATACTGTGTATCGTGGCATCAAGAAGATTGAGGATGTCTCTTCCTCTGCCACCACCCTTTGAAGGGGGAAGTAATAAAAAAGCTCAATGTGTGCAACAAGCTGTTCTTCCCTCCTACACTTTGAGGCTTTCTACCTGGAGATGAATAGGAGGCCCCTCCATAACGAAGGGGGAGAAGAGAAGATTTTATTGAGGGCTGAGGATGTGGGGGGATGCGCCATAGCTTATAGATGCTTGGTGTGAAATAGTCCAGTCGTACGAGTTTACAGGATAGCACTGTTAATTGAGTTTGACATGAGAATTATTATTTAACATTCTATGAAGACATCATTTCTAAATCACTAATCTGTCAACATGTTTGAGTACAAGTTATGTAAATATATTGAGCTTTAAGTAGGTCAAAAGGGTGTTATGTAAACATTACCAAATTGTCTAGTTAAATCTCCCTTGAAGTAAAATACTGTCTTCATAGCAAGATAAAACAATATCCATGATAATGACATTGGAAAATCACAAAGCCATAGATTAGGATTTACGGTAACCAGATTTATGCGTGAAGGAGTGAAGTCATGGTCAGGAATGTAAATGGTGGAGTCATTCAATTACCACCGTGCCCTTTCCTGGGAAAAGTCCCCAGCCGTGAAGAGGTTAATTGTTTTTGAATCTCCATCCGAGGAGAGAAAATGGGCAAACGGGATGGATAATTGAGCTGCTGATAGTTGAGTGGATTATGGATTACTGTGCCTTTCCAAAGGGGAAAAGGAAAGGAGGTGAACGCGAATCGAAGGAGAGAAGGAATGGGAAGGAAGAGGTGTGTGAAAGGCACATGTTGTGCGAAGCAGCCCCAGGGGTCGTCTGGCCTTTTAAGGAGGGAGAACTCCAATCCTGTTTAGCCTGTGAGGGGCCCATGACCCCTCATATGCTCCTCCCTGCTCCAGGTGCAAGCACTCACTGCCGGCAGCTCACACAGCAAGCAAATTTTTCACACACTGTGCAAGTATTTGGGGGGGAACTTCGTATGAAAACGTAGATCCTTTTCACATTTCCACACCCCTGCTTCTTTTTTTTTCATGCCATTCTATTGTCAGGGGTTAAAGTTCCAAGCCTGCTTGTTGGGGTGGGGTCGAGTTGTGATAATATCAGGCCTTTTTTTTTTTTCTTCTTCCTTTGAAATATTTTCTCTCCCAAAAAAATATGTCATTAAATGGGGGGAAAAAAGATGATCTGACATGGTGCAATAATCACAGGAGTGTTAATCAGAGGGATGTCATGTATAATTACTTCAGTGTTTGATAACACCACAGCAAACCACCTCAGGCCATTAGCGAAAGTTTCCCGATGCTATTAATGGGTGTTAATAAAATTCAAGAAAACCCGGATGGAACGAGCCCTCTGCATGGCCCAGTGGTTAAAGTACTGTAAGGTTAATGAACCAATTTACATACTTTCTGCTGCCATCTGGGTGGAGTGAAGAGGCAGATGCTCCCTGCCTTGTGCTGTTCAACACAGAGGAATGTGTCGGGTCCACAGAGGTCGATGAGCACAATTTACATTAAGCCTGTGGTCAAAACAATCATGACTGAACTGAAAATCGATGCTGTTGAAAGATCCTGTAGAAATACACTAAACATCGACCAGACTGCTTTTTGTAGTATGCATTTAATATAATTTAATGCTATTCCAAATGGATGAATAATGAGTCTTTTGGTGGATGTTAAATGTGGTTGGTCTCAAATTTGACTTCCATTCTAGATCACCAGCCTTGGCTATTGTTCTTTATAAAAAGTAATTCTTAAGTGTGGATTACACCCTGACCGCTCCTGACTTAGAAAAAACATGTCAGAGGGTAGTCATCTGTGCCTCAGGCGATGATAAACTCGACAGGGGCGATCCACAAGAATCACCATCGACAATGCTAGAGGCTGGGGGGAAAACATTGGATTAGTGTGTGTCCACCTCTCTGCAATCCTCATCTGGGTGATCACATTACAAATAGAGCATTCTCAAAGCTCTCTTTTAGTAGAGGAACACAATCGGCAATCAATAAAGCAGTGTGAAAGCATAGGGATATACTTAAAAAATCAAAGGCGCTGGCATGGCCATCATCTCACCCTATCTGCTGGAATCAGATAAGGGAGCGGGGCCTTGCAGGAAAGGTTGTTCGGCCCCAGGGCTGCTGGGCTTGACAGATTTCCCTCTTGCTGGCACCCATTGCAGACAGATTTCATCTGCAAACGGAGAAAAAACAAAGTTTCTGCATCTAACTGGTCCCTCTCTGATACTGTACATGTGGAAGAACAGCTGAAGAGATAGATGGGTAAAAAGGAGCATAATATATAATACCTGCAGCGTGTATGGGGAGAAAATATGCAGCTATTTCTCTCATACCCCTCTGTTTTCCTCCATGGGTGATAGCTTTTACCTCATGCTT